GTGGGTGGGTGGTGGATGGTGGGTGGGTAGATATTCAGCATTGGGGTTGGCGCTGTGCGTACAGAGGACGGGTCAGTCAAGGAGACGTGGGATGCTCTCAGGCCGTTGAGAGAGCTAATGAACAGAGTGAAGGCCAGTGGGAAGGGGCCCAGGAGGGGAGGTGACACCTGTAGTGACGCCCGGGCAAGTCGCCGACCCCTGTTGGTCTGCAGAGGCCCGTGCCCAAGCACTGTCCCTTAATCCTGCTCTGGGATGGTGCGTGAGGGACTCTGAGGCGGGTCAGGTGTCAAGTGACACAGTGCCCACTGCGGTCCAGCTGCTGGGTGTCCAGCCTTGATGTCCCCTCTGGTCCGGGGGGCAGGTCCCTGCTCTCCCTCAGGCCTCTGGCTGGGCTCTGCGAGGCCTGCGCTCTGGCATTTCCTGAGTGACGGTTGCATCCCCCGGGAAATGACATGCAGATTGCTATCAGTGACCCACTTTCAGAGCAGAGGGAACAGGAAGAGGGGAGGGGAGGGCTTTGTTGTGGTGTGCAGGGCGGGGGACAGACAGGACAGTTTGTCTGGGGAACCCTCACTGGACACCCCACGGCCAGCCAGAACTCAGTCTGTGGGCCCATTCCATTGTCCTGGGGTCACGTGACCACCTCCCCCATGTCACCCAGCCAGAGCCAGGTGGATCCAGGGCTCTCGCTGACGTGGGCAAAAGCAGTAGCCCCTGGCCATGGACACTGGGGACAGCCTGTCCCATCCCGAGCCTCCTTGCCTCCTGTAAAGCCGGTGGAGGCGGCTCCCTGCCCAGGGGGCGCGTGTGGCTCCCCAGCGGCGTCCACACTGGCGCGAATCCTGACCGGGCTGTGCCGAGGAGTGCCTGGTGCGGGGGGCTGGGACGTCCCTAGCCGGGCCGAGCGCTGACGGAGGCGCTGGGTCCCTGCAGGATCGTGGATGTCGGTGGCCAGAAGTCGGAGCGTAAGAAGTGGATCCACTGCTTCGAGAACGTGATGGCGCTGATCTACCTGGCCTCGCTGAGCGAGTACGACCAGTGCCTGGAGGAGAACAGCCAGGAGGTGGGCCCCAGACCTGCACACCAAGGGGGACTGCACACATGGGGGGACCTGCACGTGGGGGACGTGCACACAAGGGGGTCCTGCACAACCAGGGGACATGCACACACGGGGGGACCTGCACA